GATGATGATGATGATGATGATAAAATCAGAAAGATGCAAGGCAGAGTACAAAGTTAAAACATCAAAAAAAAAAAAAAAACACACAAGACCAAATACAGAAATTAAAATATTGGGGAAACTGTATATAGGTAGTAGGACTTATGACCATTTGTTTAACGACTATTCGAAGTTCCAATGGTGCTGAAAAAAGTGATTTACAACTAATCCTCACATAACTGTCACAGGGTCCTCGTGGTCACGTGACCAAAATTTGGGTGCTTGGCAACCAGCAAGTATTTACAATGGTTGCAGCGTTCCACAGTCATGTGATCGTTATTTGTGACCTTTCCAGGGGGCTTCCAACAAGCAAAGTCAATGCATTTGCTTAACAACCACAGCAAAAAAGGTTGTAAAATCAGGTGCAACTCACTTAACAACCACATCGCTTAGAGACAGAAATTCCAGTCCCAACTGTGGTCGTAAGTCAAGGACTACCTATAACTCTAATTGTACCAACTACCCATCATCAACCAGACGGGATTACCCCAGCCTCTGGCCTGTTTGAAAAGCCAGGTTTTTAAAGCTTTTCTGAGGGACAGCATGGTGGGGGCCAAATGAACCTCAGGCCTAGTGGGTATTTTCAAGGGCGGGAATAGCATCAGAAAAGGCACGGCTCCAGTATCTCAGAAGTTGGCATTGTTTAGTTGATGGGAGATTCTGAGGGACAGCATGGTGGGGGCCAAATGAACCTCAGGCCTAGTGGGTATTTTCAAGGGCGGGAATAGCATCAGAAAAGGCACGGCTCCAGTATCTCAGAAGTTGGCATTGTTTAGTTGATGGGAGATGGACCATGCCCACCTTGTCTGATTTTATAGGATGGACAGGGACAATTGGAGCAAGATGGTCCCATAAAGAGCCAGGAACCAAATAATGAAAGGCTTTATAGATGAGAACCGACACCTTGAATAGCACTCAGAAACCAACTGGCAACCAGTGCAGTAGAGATGTCAGATGGACATACTGAAGTGCATTCGTAATTACTTATGGACCACCTTTAGTTTCCAGTGCATCTCTCCAGTGTATCTTCAAGTGTGGCCCCATGTACACGAGCCCAGACAAGAGGTGACTAAAACATGAGTGATTGTGAGAAGTGTCTGTTGATCCAGGAAAGGATGCAGTTCAGTATTAGAAGAGATTTATAAATGGAAAAATCTGTAACTACATTTTAAAATACAATTGGCAAATCAACCCCTTCTCTAATGCCAGCTCCTGAGACTGGAGCACATATGAAGAACGTGGACTATCCCAATGCAGTAAACATCCCAAGAGGCTGCCTCCTTCTTTGTAGTGACAGCAGAAGAGCCCACTGGTATCTTCCATACTTTTGAAAGAGATGTTTCTACCTCCTTTTTGATTTCCAGCCCTCTGTGTCATGATTGCTATGGCCGTTTTCACAGCAAAGGCAGATTCCATCGCCCCATATGGATGGTCTTTTGGCATAGGTTGGGCCTCCTTTCCTTTGTACCTTATAACTGGTAAGTATATATTGTGTATACGCTGGTAAATTTTTTTAAAAAAATACATCTTTATGCATTCTGTATATTTTTACAACTGCTAAATGTTTTTCATGCTGGGGTGGGAACTAGCCACTTTTCCCTGGCTGGAGAGGAATCAGCAACATCTAAACATCCGAACATCCAGATATTTTGGATTACAGCTCACACAACCTCACACAGTTTAAAAGGCACTAAGTTACCCAGTACACCTGATATCAGGAGTATATGTGGTTTAGAGAAATAGCTCTATTCTGGACCATTGACTTTTGAGGGACAGAGCTTGGTCATAAAGAAACTAATAAAGAGATGAGCTTGAGTCCAGAGCTCCATAGGTTCCTGGGTTGTTGTTTTTTTTAATTCTACTTCATCTGCTGTGTGGCTAATCCATGTTTTTTCCCCTCTGGACAGGTGGGCTTACTTATAAATTGCATAAGGATGAAACAGCTTAGGAGAAATACGATGCTGCATTTTGAGATGACCCTTGAAGCCACATTAGTAACCTGGGGGCACAGAGAGTGTCCAATCAGAATTATATGCACTGGAACAAATTCATACATTTATAAGACAAATGTGGAAGG